AGGAATCCAGAATTAAGGTTGCATAGAGAAGTGTACTTGGGGTGGGGGGTGGGGGGAAGGGACGTGGGAATTGTATACTAGTGAAGGAATTTTTTTTCTTTTTTTTTTTCTCTCTTCGGAGGGGGAAGCGAGCTGGTGGGGAGGGGTGGTAAGGGAGAAAATTGCAGCAATGAATGAATGGAAATCCAAAACTTCTGTAAAAATAAAAAATTATAAAAAAAATAATTCCTAATTTCTTCCCTTCGGCTTCTCAGTGCTCTAGTGCAATATTCAGTTTCTTCTGACATCCATCTCTGTCCTTTCTTCCTCCTCTCTCTTTTTAATGGCCTTCTGCATTAATCATGGATGATATTCTTAATATCCTCCCACAGCTTAACTGGTCTTCATTCATTCCTGTACAAAGCATCAAACCTATTCTTGAGATGGTTTTCAAATGCAGATGGGATTAGACTCAAAGTCAAATTTTAGTTCTTGTGGATTTAATTTCATTTGCTTTAGCTTCAGTTTGAACTTTCATGTGAGTAGTTAACATCTGTTCCTCAATCAGCACTTACCCTAGTTTTCACAGCTGATAATTGAGCTTCTCCAATGAGTCTTTCCGCAGATGTAATCAATCTAATTCCTGCATAAACCATCAGGTGAGATCCATGTATATAGTCCTTGATTGTGTTTCTTTTTAAAGGTATTTACAATTAATAAATCACTGATGGTACAGAATTCTATCATTCTATCTCCAGCTTCATTGTTGTCACCAAGTCCACATTTTCCAACTACTGGTCCTTCTTCTTTGTTCCCAACTTTTGCATTCCAATCACCTATTATTACTAATGTGTCTTGATTACCTGTTCAATTGCTTTTTGACTGCAAAGGTTGGTAGAAATCTATTTCCTCCTCGTTAGCTCTGGTTGCTGGTACATATATTTGAATGTCTTTCTTGTATGTGTGTGGATATTTCCTTGTCACATTAATATTTCAGGATGGATCTAGAAATGGTCTTTTTACTATAAATACTAAATTTTTTCTCACCTTTTTATTTCCATTTCCCACGTAATAGATCATATGATTACCTGATTCAAAAAGTCCCAAGTCAATCCTTCTCAGTTTGCCAGTGCCCAATATGTCAATACTTATGTGTTCCATTTCTTCCTTAACAATGCCCAATTTTCCTATGTTCACACTTCTCACATTTCATGTTCCTATCACTAGTTTCTGCTCTCAACTGTTCCTTATCCTTTATGTTGCCCAATATGAGGCCTCAGCCTCCAGTGCCATATCTTCAAGTCTACGCTAAGTACACTTATTTTACGTACGGTTTTTGAAGGCCTGGTATTTTGGAAGTGAACGACCAATTTCATAATGGGGTTTCTCTTTAAGAAAAAAGCACACAAAAAGAAATTATAGTGCTTAGTTCTGAACTCTGAAAAAGGCCTCAAAACATTGACTAAACCAGGAGCATTAAATGAACATCACCAAACTGTGATCTTTAAATAACATTTCCTTCAAAAAGGAGCCAAAGTTTTTCAAAGAAACAACTGATTCTGGGTCAAGGGCAGGACGTATATAATATGAGCCTAAAACATGTTCCCCTAATTGACAGTAAGGAGACTATAAAAAACTGCTGCAGTTGTTTCTAAACACCAGTACTCAAAAGCTCATTGCTGTCAAGTGTGGCAGAATCATAGCTGGCCCTAGTGGGAGTTTTCAGATGCTATCTATAAAGCACATGGGAGGAGCTTGCTTTTTCAACGTTCTCTTGAAGAGCTGCTGGTAGAATCAAATGCTAGAGAGCTATCACCCTGGAGTAACAGCTCTACTCCTTTGTTGTGCTAGGTAGTGACTATGTTGTCCCAGGTAGTGACTGTCACTAGAACTCCATTTTCTAAACTCCAATTGTATGTTAATGGGTGAGGAAGACTTCAGAAATGGAAGGTAAAAATTGTTGTACAACATAAAGAATTAAGCCAACATTAAAATATATTGTACATGTAGAAATTGTTCAATTGCTAACATGCTCTGCTGTGTGTATTCTCCACTCAACACATGTGGTTTGAAAAGTGAGAGATAAAGAGAACAGGCCAAAATCCCTGCTGACAAGCATCAGTACGATAAGTTTTGGCCATGAGTAAAAAAAAAAACACCCACCATCAAATAAGTTTCAATCAATTAGTTCGTCATTGTTGTTATTGAGTCATAATCGACTCATCATGATGTTGTTGTTGTTGTTGTTGTTGCCATGGAGGTGTGTACACATCATAATAAACAAAAAAAAACCCACCTAGTTTTTATCAATCACCTTTGAGGATAAAAGGGACCTCTGGTGGTCTCAATAATAATAATGAGATAGGGGGTTCCCCCCATTTTTTGTCATTCTTCTTTTTAAATGTTATATTGGTTTGCATAAAAAAATAATATACATTGTGCTTCACAGATTTTTCATTCATATTTTATTTCACATGATCATTTCCATACATTGTGTTTTAGAAAATTAATCACCTATATCGATGCCCACCAGTATCTTGTCTTTTCAGGTCCCCACTGGATCTATCCTAATTCCTTCCCCCCTCCTCCTTCCACCCACCAAACTATGCGACCCTGTGATTTTGCCCTCATCCACCCTAAGCTTTACCAGCTCCCTTCTCCTCCCCACTTGGACTTTGATACACATCTTGCTAATTATCTTTCTATTTTTATAATAATGGCCTTATGCAGTATTTGTCCTTATGAGACTGAGTTAGTTCACTCAACATAATGCTCTCCAGTCTCTTCCATGTTATGCAGTATTTTTCTAAATTATTGCTCCTGAGTGCATAGTATTGCGTAGTATTCCATCATGTGAATGTACCAAAATGTCTCCATCTAGTTGTTTGTTGATGCACATTTGGTTGTTTTCATGTTCTTGCAATTGTAAATAACGCTGCTATGACCATTGGTGTACAAATCTCCATTTGTGTCACAGCTCTAATTTCCTTAGGGTATGTTCCTAGCAGTCAAATAGCTGGGCTGTATGGAATTTCTATGTTCACCTTTTTGATGAAATGCCAAACTGCCATCCAGAGTGGTTGTACTATTTTGCAGCCCCATCAACACTGTATAGGAAGGAGTTCCAACCTCTCCACATCCTTTCCAGCATTTACTGCTTGCTGCCCTGTTAAACTTTGCCATTGATACCAGGATGAGATGGTAGCTTATTATGGTTTTGACTTGCATCTCTCTTATTGCCGGTGACTTTGAGCATTACTGCATGTGTCTGTTGGCCATCTGAATCTTTCCAGGTCTTTTACTCATTTTGTAATTGGGTTATCGGTCTTTTACTTAAGGAGGCCCTGTAGTATTCTGTAAACTTTCATTGTTAGACCCCTTGTCTGAGATAGCATTGCCAATTTTTTTTCTCCAGTCAGTATATTTTCTTCTCACCCTATTGGGGAATTGTTTTGATGCACACAAAGACTTAATCTTTAAAAGATCCCAAAGAGTTATCCAAACAATGAGTTTTTTGAGTGTCAGTGTTTAGTAACCAACTCTAGTGACTAAGAAGTTACATTATTGGCTCAAAGGTAGGCAATTTAACTAGCTGCTCCATAGAAGAGATATGGGCAATCTCCTCTTATCCAGTTAACAGCCCCTGAAAACCCACTGGAGAGTCAGCTATTGAAGGCAATGAGTTTGAAAGTTTCAGAAGAGGGAGAAGTCCAGCATAATGGGCTTGAGCATGAGAGAGGCTATGAAAATGGCACAGAACACGGCAATGTTCAGATACATTGTTCGTGGGGTGGCTATGAATCAGGGTCAATGCAACACCCAACAGCAACAACGAAAAAACCAACCAATTATTTTGAAAACCATTCATCCTGCTTTCAGGTAATGAACATATCGTATCTCACAATAATAAAATTTTTAATGAGGGAAACTTTCTATTTATAGGTATTGCACAGCTAATAAATGAAAAAGTAAGAGTACTGAATATACCATGGACTGCTAAGAGAACAAACAAGTTTGTCCCGAAGAGGGTGAAGCCAGGCTGCTCCTTGGAGGCAAGGATGCTGAAGCTTCATTGGACATACTTTGGATATGTTGCAAGGAGGGACTGCTCCTTGGAGAGGGACATCATGCTTGGGAGGGTAGAGGGACAGTGTGGGAGAGGAAGACCCTTGATGAAATAGATTGACTCAGTCATTTGGGTAATGGGGATAGGTGTGTCGGAGACAATAAGATTGACAAGGGATAGAGCAGGGTTTAGGGCTGTTGTCTATAAGGTTGCTATGAGTTGCAGGCAACTTAATGGCACATAACAAAGATGATGGGATCAAGAGTCACCACCCCCACCCCACCACCCCCACACACACACCCGTCCCTAATGGAATAAAGGATCTGGATAATTATCATCAAGGGCTGTGAGTGTCAGTAAAAGAGAGATAAACAGACCACAGGAGTCTCCTGGCAAAAGAACACACTGCCATTTAGGAAGTTTTCTTGCCAAAAAACGATAGCCTGAATTTGCTCAAGTCCAGACTGAACTACAGATTCACAGGCATAACAACATGGGGATATATGCAATCAGCGAATTTAGACTCTCAGAAACACTGATGAATCTCAACAAATATCATGTAAGAGTTAAAAAGTAAATGTAAAGAGACTTGAGAGAGACATCAAACTTCCTCAGTGTATTATATTTGAATCCTTACTTAAGCTATGGGGAAGTAAATGTTGGCTAAATATTTGATAATATTAAATATTAAAGTCTTCTTTGAGCTAAACAAGCTCTGATCTCTCACCCTTTCTCCAACGGCATGGCTTTCATTAATGCCCCACACCACCCTTGATGCTACCCTGGGAATACCTTCCACAAGCTAGCAAAATAGTTGAGCTTCTGGAAAATTATCCCCAGGTCTCTGCGCAGCAGCTCTCCCCCCCAGTCTCACCCCCACTGAGTAGATCCCAGACATGCCCTGGTCCTCCACCCTCTAAACTGGATGCTCAGGTCCCAGGGTGGCATGGCTCACCTGGGCCTCGGTGCCTCTTCTCCATCCAGATGTAGCAGTTGTTCTGGGCCACTCCTGTCTGTGAGTCCAGGAAAGGGAGGCGCACGCTGCGCTCCGCACACAGCCGGGAGTTGTAACTCCGGCAGTGTTCAATGGCTTCCTTGTAGAATTGGTCCCCAAGCCTGCAAGAAAACAGAGAACAGAAGATTGAGTCCAGGGGACACTGAAACCACTCCAAGGGAAACGGAGGGCAACCACCCACCTCCTCAGGAGGCTTCTAAAAACCAAGGCAATGAGCCTTGCCAATGGGAAGAATGTAACTCTGTCTCCACCAGGTTCTATTTCCTAACTTAAGCCATTTGACCTTAGATCCCTTTAACAAACAGTTCAAGATCCCAAGAATCAACAAGAGAAGCAAGTTGGATGCTCAAGGAAGTATGACCTCTTTGCTCCATAATGAAAGTAGCTCCAAAATAACCCTCAGCATGAGATCTAGGCTCTCGGCTTCTAGAATCTATTCATATTTTCTCCCGATGATCTGACTCCGACTCCCATGGTCTCAACAACTAGACTACACTATCATGAGTTTTGCTTTCATAGATGCCTGATTAGGTAACCAGGTCCCTTTCTAGTCTTTTGCCAGGACACAGCTCATGCCACACTTTGCTTTATATCTCTCCAAAAGCCTGATGCTTGGTTAGCACTCATATATTATGTTTCTTTATGCTGTAAAAGCAGAGCTGAGGGCATTGATGGTTCAGTGGTAGAATTCTCACCTTAGATGTAGAAGGTCTGGGTTCAATTCTTGGCTAAGGTACTTCATGGTTTATATATTGCTATGATTCTGACTAGGTTTCAATAGAATTTCCAGACTAAGATGCTTTGCTATATACTTGGGCATATAGCAAGATTAGTAATTATAATATTGTATCTGTTCCAAAGACCAAAACCATGCAATTTATATCAAATGCAAATAATATAAGGATCAAATGCTTCTTGGAAAAAAATGATAGGTAAATTGTTGTAGGAATCATTGAGTGAAGTACAACTCATAGCACCTTTGAACAACTTATCTAAACCCTGTCCTTTCCGGTGGAATCTCAACACATCTGGCACACCATAGGTGCATCTTATTGAGGGTCTTCCTCTCTCACTGACCCTCCACCTTTCTAAGAATGTTATCTTTTTCCAAGGAATAGCCCCTCCTAACTACATGCTTTTTAGTATGTGAGACAAAGTTTTGCCATGCCTGCCTCTAAGAACTCTGGCTGCATTTTTCTGCAACACATACTCATTTGTTCTTTTGGCAGTCCCTGAAATATTCAGTACTCTTCTCCAACACCACTGATTATTTTTCTGTCACATTTACTAATTGTCCAGCTCTAAGACACACAGTAAACGATTAAAATGGCCATGGCCTGAATTAGGCTCACGTTAGCCTTCAAACTGACATCACTGTTCCTTAGTACTTTGGAGAGGTCTTTGACAGAAGATTTTTCCAATGCAACATGGTGGTGTTTGGGGTTATTTTGGTTTTTTTATTTCTTGACTGCTGATACCAAGGGTGTTGATTGTGGACCTAAGCAAGCTGAAATCATTAACAATTTCTATCTTTTCTCCATCTATTGTGATGCTGCTTGTAGGGCCAGTGGTAAGGATTTTTGTCTTCCTGTTGTTGAGATGTAATCCATATTAAAGGCTGTATGTAGTCTTTGATCTTTTACAAGTGTTTCAAGTCCTCCTAACTTTCAGGAAGCAAGATTGTGTCATCTGTATAGTGCAAGTTGTTGATAAATTTATCTCCAATCATGATGCCACATTCCTCTTCAAAAAGTTCACCTTCTGTAATGATTTCAACATTCTATTTTATAAAGAAGATAGGCATCTAGTGGAGGCTAACAAATTGCTCAATTAGCTATGAATACAACAACATAACTTCAGTCAGGTAAACCTGAGCCTCTTAGTAGGGAGTAGGGAGGAAGGAAGAAGAGGAAGAGGTCACAGGGATTCCAAGGGTCGAAGAGAGAATCAAGGAGGTCATTCTGATGCAACATCATGAATGTCCCTTTGTTTGAAAAACTCAGAAAGTTAAAGCTAATATAGCTCTTGAACGAAGTAGAGGAATAAACAAAGTAAAGTTTTAAGTGGACTTTTCTAGTTTTTCTGTATTCTTAAAAAAAGTCAATGGGTCTGATCCTATCAATGAGTTTCAAGTAAACGGCTTATTCTAGGATGATACAATCATTCAAGCTCATGAGGCATGATTTGGAAACACCTGTGGACACATCTCTGAAAGTAAACAGCTTTGTTCATTTTTCATCTGTGAACACCCTCATTATCACAAGGAAGGAGCAGTGTGCTCAGAAAGTACCTTCGCATTTCAAAAACCAAACTGTAATCAAATTACAGTGGTCACACTGCTGAAAATTAATTTGGTGGGAGAGGGATAAAAGCCCAGTAAAATGCAATAAAACTAAACAGACATAAGCCGATATAATCAAAGTTAGTTACAAAGGTCATGAGATTGATCAAAAAATAAAGAATCATTTCCCACAAAGCATTTGCATTTGTATCACACCAGCTTAAACACCTCCTGTGAAGGCAACATATGAACACCTATTTATCAATTTGCCATACTTGGATAGACAAGGAGTCCTATTAGTCTGATGTGTTACATGTTGCGTTGGTAACCAAAAAGTCAGTTGTTCAAATCCACCAACTTCTCCACAGGAGAAAGAGAGGGCTTCTCCTCCCATCAATATTTACTGCCTTTGAATCCCAATGCAAGGGGCTGCTATGAATCAGAACAGCCCTAAGTTTGGGAGCTTGTGTGTTGTCATGATGCTAAAAACTTTGCCTCCAATATTTCAAATCCCAACTGAGTCACCTACAGTGGATAGGATTCAGCAGAGCTTCCCAACTAAGGCAAACTAAGAAGTAAGGCCTGGTGATCTACTTCCCTAAATAAGCCAATGAAAAGTTCAAGGATCAGCACAGGTTATTTAGCACTAGGGGATGAGCCCCCTGGGTTGGAAGTCCCTCCCAAAACACAGCAGCCAGATCAATGGACTCAAGCCAATCAAGATGGCACAGGACCTGAAGGCATCTCATTTTGTACACAGGGTCACCATAAGTGACCTTGAGGAAAGCTGGCAGAAATCAGCAATACAGCTCAGGGTGACTGAGAATGTTCACAGTCAGCTCAGCCCAGACAAGAAAGCACAGCTGCCCAGGATGTCCTCAGTGCTCCAGTTCCTCTCTACAAATCAATCATGGCACGTGGATTAGAAGCATGAAGAAAGGGAGATGCATGATAGAGGTGTCTAACATGAAAAGCATCACATTCTAGAGGTCTCTAACATGAGACCACAAGAGAATGCATAAAATGAAGTAAAAGCAAAGGTGGGGGAGTGGAATTGTACACTGAAAGCCACCTACTAGAGGGAACAGGGTCTCCATTTTCAAAACAAGCTGCTAAATTCCAACACTGAAGAAGGTCAGAGTCCAATCTCAAACTGGACTGATATGTTAAGAACTTGAACTTGCTGAAAATGTAAAGTAAGCTTGCCCAGTACTCGTGCCCCCCCACCGATGGAAAGGAGAATGTCAAACAAAGTGGCAAGGCTGGAGAAAACAGATTTCATCTTAAATACTTTCCACTTTGGTAACATGCAATGTTATGAGTAACAGGCATGCTGGGGAGACATGTGTATTTTGAAATGTAATCTTTACGTGAAGGATACCGCTCTTAAGTAAATAGCAAAGACTATTTGCAGACTGGAACAATTGTACTAAAGATGGAAGTTTTGATGGCAAAACTGTAGCATCCAATACTCCCTCTACGATCACCATAAAGGTGGCCACTTCTCAATAGAATGGGAGCTGGCAGATCCTGGGAAACAAAAATTTTAAGCCTTTTTACAAGATATGGGAGGAGAAGAGAGACTTCAACCTCCTTGATAAATCCAAGCCGCGCTTCTCCCAAAGTTAATTAGCCAAGATCTTCGCAGGGCTGGCTGCTCCCACTGGAAGAAAATCGATGGACAGTTCTCCCAAACCCGAGGAAAGCAATTTAAACAAAAGAGAGGACAAATGTCCTTCCCAATATGGTATTTCTACCACAAGAAAAAGGAAAAAACCCCGCAATGATAGGATCTGAGGAGTGACATTTGCATTTAAGTTGCAAGGGGCAGAGGAAGGGGGAAACACTGGTAGCAAATGATTCATGGTGTGCCCTGGTGGCCCACGTGTCCCAGCCCGACTCAGGTGTGTCCCAGCCTCAGCCATCACCTGCCGGCACCAAACCAAGAGGGCTGGCTTGCCCTGGGATGATAGATGTCCTGGGCTCCCAGAAGCTGACACAAGGCAGAATAGAATGATGTTCTCATCAACAACTGACTTCAGGCTACTCAAGGCTGCAATCAGAAAGGGGGACAAATGGCTGAGCTCTCTGTGAGAGCCAGGCAGGAGGACCAGGGCATGCTGACTGGAGCAGAACTGGCTGCCGGGCTCAGGTGGGCAGCTGCTAAAGGGTCCTTGGTGACCCCAACTGGACAGAGGGCGCCACCTCTGGGAGCGTGTCTTTGGAGGATATTCACCAGAAGATTAAAAAGGATTCTGAGTGAAGAAATAGGAGGCTTCTCTGAAATAACTGCTAACTAGGCTCCTCTGAAAGGGGCAGTGGTGGTTCAGCGGTAGCCTTCTCTCTGTTCACACAAAAGATACAAGTTCAAATCCCCACTAAGTCACCTCAGGCACAGCCACCACGTGGTGACTTGCATGTCGCTATGATGTTGTGCAGATTTCAGTAGCACTTCTAGATGAAGGAAGGCTAGCAATAGGATGAAAGGGACTGGCCATTTATTTCTTATAATCAGCTAATGAAACCTCTATGGTTCCTAGTTATCTGATTATAGGGATGGCACAGAACCAGACGGTGATTCATTCTGACATGGAAGGGGTCACCAGGAGTTAGGGGGCAACTCAACGGCAGCTGAAGCAACAATAGGCTCTGAGTGTGATTTTCAGAACTGATCACACCCACATACCCCCCTAAGACATTCTATCCTCTGCCTTCTCACCCATCCAACCTCCCTCTTACAACCTCAACCATGAGCTTAGATTCCCCTTCCTACATCAAATCTCCAAAGCAGACGCCTGAGAACCCTTTCTTCACCAGTTC